CTCTGCTGTGGAGCTTTGCAGCTCCTTCAGGGTTATCTTTGGTCTCTTTGTTGCCTCTCTGATTAATGCCCTCCTTGCCTGGTCTGTGAGTTTTGGTGGGCAACCCTCTCTTGGCAGGTTTGTTGTGGTGCCATATTCTTTCCATTTTTTAATAATGGATTTAATGGTGCTCTGTTAGATGTTCAAAGTTTCAGATATTTTTTTTTACAACCCAACCCTGATCTGTACTTCTCCACAACTTTGTCCCTGACCTGTTTGGAGAGCTCCTTGGTCTTCATGGTGGCGCTTGCTTGGTGGTGCCCCTTGCTTAGTGGTGTTACAGACTCTGGGGCCTTTCAGAACAGGTGTATATATATACTGAGATCATGTGACAGATCATGTGACACTTAGATTGCACACAGGTGGACTTTATTTAACTAATTATGTGACTTCAGAAGGTAATTGGTTTTACCATATCTTATTTAGGGGCTTCATAGCAAAGGGGTTGAATACATATGCACGCACCACTTTTACATTATTTATTTTTTAGATTTTCTTTTTACAAGTTATTGTTTTCATTTCACTTCACCAATTTGCACTATTTTGTGTAAGTCCATTACATGAAATCCAAATAAAAATCCATTTAAATTACATGTTGTAATGCAACAAAATGCAAAAAACCCGAAGGGGGATTAATAGTTTTGCAAGGCACTGTATATACTGTATTCTACTGTATTTTAGTCAATGCCACTCCGACATTGCTCGTCCTAATATTTATATATTTCTTAATTCCATTATTTTATTTTTTAGATTTGTGTGTATTGTTGTGAATTGTTAGATACAACTGCAGTGTTGGAGCTAGGAACACAAGCATTTCGCTACACCAGAAATAACATCTGCTAAATATGTGTATGTGACCAATTAAATTATATTAGATTTGTTTTATTTATGCCAATTATTTGATTATTTGATGGAGCTAGAGCGTTGTTTGTCAGACAATGAGAAATCCCGAACATCGGTCTTCTCACAAAATAGTACGTCTCGTCCGAACAGTTTGGTCTGCAAACTATTAATACCCCTCTATGGAAAGATGAGACTCTCACGAACACGATGGTGTTCTCCGTTTTGCTCTACAACCCCCAGTGTCTTGGGACTCGTCTGAAGTCAGTACAGCCGATCTGCCAACTTCTGTCTGTAGCGTCTGAAAAGTTTGGGCTATACACTAATATGACTCCTTTTTGCAAATGTGAGACTCTCACGGACACGTACATGTCGGTTGTTTTACTCTAAGACATCCACAGGCCTCACAAAACTCGTCTGAAGGCCCCCCGGTACTGAAAGTATATAAGGAGACTGTTTATTGCCAAAAAGAAGGGGTTAAATACATGTGAAAATATATATAAATGTTTCCGGATCTTTGTTATATCTCTAAGATATCTGTTGTTCGATGTTGTAAATCTATTGTTCAGTGCGTTTGTATGGGCTAATAGCAGTAAGGCCAAAACAATTTTTTCATCAAATAATTTTTATGTATTTTTTTTATACTTCAAGGGGTCTTAAACTCTTATGGGATAAGGTGTTAGGATACATAGATTGTGTGCGTATATCTTTCACCATACAAACTGGTAATAACTTGTTTCATCACACTTGACATCCATATAAAAAAATCAATACTTTAATAGTGGAAGCTCATGCCATAAACATATATTTTGCTATTTACAGCACAGTATCTTCATTTCTTTCAAGGATATTGGAAACAGACTTCAGTAGCAACATTGGTTTTGGTAATACCTCAATATTCACTTCAGGTATTTTAATTTGTAGCATTTGTAACATCACAAAATTCACACATTTCAGAGATTAACCTATCAATGAAAGCAATATCCCAAATTAAGATTGTTTTGATTTTGTTTATAAAGAAAATATGTATTTCAAGATGTATTTTAAGAAATACAAAAGTAGAAGTACATAGAAGACAAATACCTGAGTCCCCCACATGATAATCATAATAACATATGCATAAGTGCACATTCCTAACCCATTTGAATATAGTGCCAAAATAAACACCATGTACAATATGTATACAAAAATACACAGCAACCCTCTCATTTGCCAGTTTTGTTGGTTAGCACTTACGAATAATAAAAAAGCATGTCGTTTTCACAAAACTATTCATATTTTACATTTACCAAGGAAAATAGAAATCTAGCGCCGTTTTTCGTAGGTATAAAATGCAGCACAATTGAGAGTGTCACTAATTCCACTTCAAGTATGCTCTTCATCTAGGAGTGCGGAGTCTGTCAATAATATAACTTCTTCTTTGTGTTCATATAGGCTCATATACGTTAATATATAGGCTATAGCCTACAGATATATTTACACATAATGTTTCAACTTTATATTTATCACTCTTTAACAAGGTTGTACTAACAGAGGTAAGACGGCTCATACAACAGCGGTAGGTCCAACAACAAAGCACTTTGAGCTAAGGCCTCTACATATACACATAGTAAAAGCTGCCAGTGAAATATCAAAAAAATACATTTAACTATACACTATCGAGTTCACGTTCATAGACAATAATCTGTATTTTTTCTTCCCAGTGACTTTTTATTATGTAGATAATTCTTCAAAAGTCTACTCTTGGTGCTCAAACTGTCTTCCTCAATGGGGGAGTTGCCAAAGCAATTTCTGAACACATCAATGCTTTTGGAAGGTGAGAATAAAACAGAATACAAAAAGATTATCTACAGTGACAAACATAACATATAATGCCTCTGCAGCAATGATTTTGTAACAGATAGTAAAGCAGTTGTGTGCACTTTACTACAGGTGGGATGACATGTTTTTCATATATTCTAAAAAACATTTCTAAAAACCATTTATTTGTATCATACTGCTTCATAAAGAAATGTTATGTTTGTGGATTTGCTTAAACAAAACAATAGGCAGACATACAGTAGATTTAAGACAATTAAAACATAGAATAGGCCTATAGCGGTGCATTAGAACACCTATGGAAATATTTGTTATCTAAGATAAAGCTGTGATTAAATACAAATATAGGGGCGCTCATTTGAAAATAATAATGCATTGTGGGAATGTAGAATGTACAATGAGATACTACAACAGCTAAAAAGTGTAAACATACTATTGCCAATACTTTACAGTAACAATAAGCTGTTGCAATAGAAGTACCGTATGTCTGTTGCACTATAAGTAGATATATAATTTGTCCACGTCGCTGTCATGTAAACAGAAATAAGCTGCTACTTTGACCAGGAAGGTTACATAGACCAGGCAGGAGCGGATAAGTTTGAACTGAACAGTGAACTGATCCTGGCCATATACATAGGACCATTCCAATGGCGAAAGACTATCAAGACAAAGACAGTGCCAATTCAAAATATGCTATATGCTGCATAATAAACAGAACAACAGCGACATTACATATTTTGTCAGCAAAATATGATTTATCTAAAGAGCAGCATATACATTGTCTTACTCATTTGTCCAAGTGCACCTAGATTATCATATTTGCTCCAAATCAGTGCCATCTCCCTTCATTGGCATTCTCCTTCTAAAAAGGCTCTTAGTAAACTCTAAACCAAACTGCTTTCTGTCTACTTAACAGTACCAGTGTATCAGCTTAAAGTGCATTGCTGTTTGTACTGGGCTAAATCCTTTCCACGTCATTCACATGCACTGTACAGCAGGGTTGGGATCAATTCCATTTAAATTCTATCAATTAAAAAAGTAAATTGCAAATCCAAATTCCAATGCCAATTTTTCTCATTGCTTTTTTTCATTGACTGAATTGAAATGGCATTGATCCAAACCCTGGAGTACAGTAGAGTACACGCACTGACATGTCATCTGCAGAAAGCAGCCTGTTCACTAAAGACACATGAGTGGGGTAAAGGCAAGCTGCGAGAAAGATATGTGAAGTTGCTGTTGAACCAGGGAGTGCCTCATCCCTTCCCGTCCTTCCCATCCCTCAAGGCATCAGGCTGCTAGTGCAAGAACAGGTTTAGGGAGGTGGGTTGCAGGGCAGTGCTTTTCCTTTCCTCTGTGAAGTGTTGTGAAACTGATAAGGTTAAAGGAACTGTTCTAAGGAAAGCAGATAGTTAGCTAGCGTAATTAACAAAACTATAACAAATCTGTAGACATTGTCTGAAAAAGTAAATTAATGTCTGAGTAAGTCTCTCTCGCTTTCTCTTTCTCTTTCTCTTTCATTCTTTCTTTCTCTTTCTCTTTCTCTTTCTCTTTCTCTCTCTCTCTCTCTCTCTCTCTCTCTCTCTCTCTCTCTCTCTCTCTCTCTCCTCTCTCTCTCTCTCTCTCTCTCTCTCTCTCTCTCTCTCTCTCTCTCTATCTCTCTCTCTCCCTCTCTCTGTCTCTTTCTCTCTGTCTCTCTCTCCCTCTCTCTTCTCTCTCTACCTCTGCAGAAAAGGTCATTCTCTAATGTGGCTGGTGTGACAACACATGCAGTTAGCAGTTAGCAAGGCTTTTGACATAAGACAGAGAATATGTATGTTGCATGAAATGGTTTGGGTGGTGGAGTCAGGGAAAGCCCCCTTGATAAGTTGAGCCTTTACATGGCAGTCTGTGTTGCAGCAAACAAGTGCAACAATACAGTATGCAAGACAGGGACAGTGATAAGACTTATGAAACTATAATATAACTACTCACAGTATTGGTTGCTCTTTGACAATCTCAGAGACACAATTGAATAGGTGTACTTATTCTTTGTCTTCTTTTTCACACAAAAAAAAATCCCTCACTTGAGATGCAAATCTCAACCTCACAATCTTCAAAACACCTTGAAAAATTAAAATTTGTATTTGGCCAGACCTTCATATGTTTGTTTGGATGATATAGTTAGTATCATTATGCTGCAGCAAATGTTGGTTAGTTTTCTCTGTCTTGGTTGATTGCATTGATCACACACAGTTAGTTCAACATCACTGTCCTGGTGTGGGGATGGGGAGGGACCAGGGACAGCTCCTGTCTTGTCCAGCCCTCTACTGGAAGGTGTGTTCCCCACGGACAATGTGAGATGAGAACTCGTAGCGGTCCTTACTGCGGTGGCCACAGATGTTGCACTCCAGCGGGTCCCTGTAACCATGACAGCCCATGTGGATGGTGTACATAACGTGGTCCAGGAAGAGAACACAGCAGTGCTCACACTGGAACACCCTCACCTCCCGCCCCTCTCGCCCAAACACACGCACCCCGTCCCGACTCATCGGCGTCTCTGCCGCCTCTCCCCGGGCCACCTCCGCTGTCAACCCCACCTCAGCCCCGCCTCGCCCCTCCTCTCTGCCGCCATTGGTTGGGCTGGGTCTGGACCTGGGTCGGGGATAGGGGTTGTTCCTGTGGTTCCTGTGGTAACCCAACCTCTCCTGTGGGCTGCTCCGGGTGGATTCGGCCGAGTCCAGCCCACTGTTGCTAGGACACTCTCTCTCCTCTCTGGTACCCTGGGGATGGTGATGCTTGGGTCTGGTGAGGGCGTTGGGCCCGTTGGAGGAGGGAGGAAAGTCAGGAAGAAGAGGTGGCAGAGGTGAAGGTTGAGGTGGGGCGTCCCGGCTGCGTGGTCGGTCCATACGGTGCCCCGGCCCTGGTTCCAGGGGGTAGACATGTTGGAAGAGGGGGTTGCCCATGGGTACCACCTCAGCCATTGTGAGGGATGGGTGTGGACCGTGTGGACCGTGTGGACCGTGCGGGTGGGGGTGGTGGACCATGGGTCTCAGGGAGTCAGAGCCCAGGTAAGAGATGGCGTTGTTGATAGCCTGGTCCATCATGTGAGCCTGCATCAGCTCTGCCTCCTTCTCATACTTCAGACTCATCTCATAGCTCAGCTCTGGGTAACTGTAGCGCATCATCTTCTCACCTGCACAGAGCACAGCAGGCATATTACCACAATGAAACTCACACATGTATGGGCTCACACTAAGAGAAAGTGTCTGGTTGAATGACACCTCTTGAAACCATGTTTAGCGACTAGATACAATACATACAGGTGTAAATATATAGTATATGAATATGAGTGCCTGTCACAGTTTAACCTTTTCACTTTTGAGAAGCTAAGCATTATCTTGTTTTTCATATTGCGTTATCACAGAGGTTTTGTGTTTAATAGTGGAAATCCCCATCTATCTGAATGCACTGTTTAACCCCTCCAGAACAGGGATGCGGTGAACTGTTTTGCCCCTCTCTCGATAAGAGCCATGGCAGAGATACAGGTGTAACAAAACCACAGAGTGAAAAACATGTCCTCATCTCTCTCATCTGCTCTCTGTGTCTCGCTCTATCTCTTCTTCTCTATCTAATAGTGCAGTCAATTATACCTCACAAACAAGATAATTGTGTTCAGCACTAATATGCAAAAATTATTGCCAGTTACATGCCAACTAAATGTTTACAACACTGTAACAACTGTTTCGTAATACAAAACATATGTTTTTGATGGTTGAGTATTTATTTTAATTGAATGGAGAAATACAGTGGATAAGAAAATCGAAAATCTAAAACAATCCAACCAAAGGCTGCAATCTGTGAATAGTGTGTTCATTTCTAACATTAAATCAAGGTCATCTGTTTGTTGTTAAACCTCTGCCCAGGCATACAATTCAATTCCCTTTTTTGCATGCATACACTCATCCTGTTTCATTTCGGTCAAACTGAACATAAAACATAAACAATCAAAACTGTAAACTGAAATAAACAGAACAGAACAGGTTCAATTCAATCACATAATGAGATTACGTAAATACCCCACTAAATACTCAGTGATATGAGGTAGATGCAGAAAGTGAACAGTATGGTGGGTCAATTTCCGTAACAACTAAGAGCGTTGAAGTGCGAGGCTCATCTTCTCTGCTATTTTGGTGCCCTGGCAACCACGCTGTGAACCACGTGAAGCGGCCGTGCGCATGTGCAGATGCTGTGTGTGACTCGCTCATCTCAATATCTCCGGTGCTGCTCGTGGCAACGTAATTTTGCTGAGTCTACCTTTAATAACACATTAATAATTATCAAACATTGAAACATTTTGAATAGTTATTGTAAAGAAAAATGACAAATTATGTTTCGTCCTTTTAAATACAATAATTATATAAGCTTCTATGAATAATTGTGAGTTAGTGGTCCTTGGGGTCAACATATCATGGTGCCCTCCACCACAGGAAGTGATCATTCTTACCCACAAACTTCTGTGGGGTGGTGCTCTTCCTCTTCCCCATGTTACTCTGCAGTCTCTCGATGACGGGTGGGCGGTCGAAGGTTGCCATGGTAACAGCCTCGGCCAGGGGCCTCTGCTCTTTAGGGACCTCACCTAGGGGTCAGAGGTCAGAGGAGTGTGTGTGTGTGTGTGTGTGTGTGTGTGTGTGTGTGTGTGTGTGTGTGTGTGTGTGTAGAAAAGCAGAATGAAGGTCTGCACCAAGGCTTGTAGGTAGTAGGTGGCTGGTTTATAAATGTAAAATAACTAAGTAGAGTTCACAGGGTACTCGCACTTACTCCACAATAAGGAGACAGAGAAACAAAAATGGTCTTCAATTGAACTTCATGCTTGAATGATCAACTATAAAAACAGCAAGTGCAAGGTGCGGAAAAGTGGCAAACAGAAAGCAGACGTTTCCGCATCTATGCCATCAACAGTGCTGTACCGTATAGCAGGACACTCACCTGGATAAGGCCCGGTGTTGGAGGTGGGATCCATGGCAACACTCTGAAGGTAGTTATGGCAACGCTCTTTATGCTCCTCCAATGAAATCCTCTGTTTGTAGCTCCGCCCACAGTAGTTGCACTTGTGTGGTTTGCCCACTAAACAAGAGAAATTACATCAAAATAAAAAAATATTAATTTAATTGACAGATGGACGGACAGAGAGAGAGTGGGAATAGTCCAAAGCCTTTTTGTGGCGACGCAAATCTATGTGAACTCTCTAGGAGGTTGTTGTAAACGCAAAGAACCTGTGGCTAACAGAGTCTATGTGAACTCTCTAGGACAGTGTTTCCCAACTCCAGTCCTCGATTACGCCCAAGAGTACACCTTTTGGTTGTAACCCTGGTCAAGCACACCTGATTCAACTTGTCAACTAATCATCAAGCCCTCAATGAGTTGAATCAGGTGAACTTGTCCGGGGCTACAACAAAAATGTGTGCTGTTGGAGGTACTGGAGGACTGGAGTTGGGAAATACTACTCTAGGAGGTTGTAGTAAACACACAGAACCCATGGAGAACACAGAAAATAGAGGAGGGCTATGATGAGCTATGGAGTAATGATGCTCCACAACTAGTGGGATCCCTCACACAAACCAGAAACTCGAATACAGACGTTTCCCATGGAACAACTGTTACAAATCTTCCAGGCGCCAACTGGTTTACTACTACTATCTGTTTACTACTATGGGGCATAATTCAATGGGCTTGTAGGCCTAGTACAGAGCCAGTCAATGTGTTCTGCATCCCTTAGTGGGAAGAAAGTAACTCCAATGTTAGACCTAAACAATGCGTGTTTCTTCTCAGCAGCTGGAGGTGGGAAGTGATTCATGCTATTTAGCAGACACTTTTATCTAAAGCGACTTACAGTCATGCGTGAATACATTTTACTTATGGGTATCAAACCCACTACCCTGGCATTACAAGTGCCATGCTCTACCAACTGAGCTACAAAGGAAGTAAGACAGAGATACACTTGGGTAACATTTCACAAAGTCTATGAAAATTGATTGATCTTTGCAAATATTGGTGAGTGTGTGAGAGAGAGCTGGTTTACGTTTATTGAAGCAGATCTCAAAAACTTGATTATGGAACAATTACTCTATAGGTTACCTGTCTTTCAGTAATTTTGTTGTCTGTGAATGCCAATTGGTTTAGTGTATGGGTAACCTTTGAGTAACACACAATGACAAGACAATGATAGTTTCAACATTAAAGTGGAGTACTAGCAATGGTATCATCGTGTAATTTACAGGTCATGATCATCATTACAGTATGCTTGGTATATTCTACTTATGAGTCTCTCCACATCAAAAGTAGTATAATGTCACTGTAATGGTAAAACAGCCTGAGCTGTCTGTCGGCTCCAATTATCTAAGCCAAAGCACCTGCTAACTGTAGCCAGCCGCAATGGGCAGTCACACTTTCATTTTGGAATAGGCAACACACACACACACACAACCACACAACCTACTCATTTACAAAACCTCCCCCACATGGCCTTTTGCAGATGTTGGATGTATCACCAAATCCCGCTTTCAGCAGCTATTCTTGAACATGCAAATAGCCTCAACCCTCTCAGCCTTTAGACTCTGTCGGCTGCATCTATTTGGGTGATAAACAGGAACCTATTGAATCTTGTCTCAGAAACCTTTTATTGTCTCATGTAATGTAAAAAATGAGTGACCCCATAGCTCTCAATGTAGCATCTAAAATACTTCCAAGAACAACCAATCACATGCACACCACATTTGTACAGCAATTCTAGGAATTATTAGATATTGTCATTTAACAATGTGTTTGTGATGGGTTCAGATTCTGTAAACACAATCCATGCAGTGCCAATCTGTGACTTCACTGTGACAGGGAAAATAGACTCTTGTCTTACTCTTCGGATTGTACAATACATCAAAGCATTCACCTGTCACCGTATCTCTCTCTGTTTCTCTGTCTCTCTCCCCTCTCAATTTCTTCACCTGTTTCCTGGCATTGTGTCATGTGTCTCCCAGGAGGCAGGGAGGGACAGAGAGAGAGCGAGGAGAAAGGAGAAGAGCCCTTTCAACTACAGCCTTGTTCATAAGAGAACGTCATGCCAACCTACTCCCTATGCCACAGAAGAGTGCCTAACATTCCATTCAACGCTCAGGTAGAGTAGTAGGCAGGTTGAGGGGCAGAGGGGATTCATACAGTAGGTAGGCTGAGGGGCAGAGGGGATTCATACAGTAGGTAGGTTGAGGGGCAGAGGGGATTCATACAGTAGGTAGGCTGAGGGGCAGAGGGGATTCATACAGTAGGTAGGTTGAGGGGCAGAGGGGATTCATACAGTAGGTAGGCTGAGGGGCAGAGGGGATTCATACAGTAGGTAGGTTGAGGGGCAGAGGGGATTCATACAGTAGGTAGGCTGAGGGGCAGAGAGGATTCATACAGTAGGTAGGTTGAGGGGCAGAGGGGATTCATACAGTAGGTAGGCTGAGGGGCAGAGGGGATTCATACAGTAGGTAGGCTGAGGGGCAGAGGGGATTCATACAGTAGGTAGGCTGAGGGGCAGAGGGGATTCATACAGTACTACTACATACTACACCTTCATTTGCCGCCTACACTGACTAGAGGAGAGTGAATAATTAATTTAGCCTAAAAAAACAGGTAGGTAGGCTGAGTGGCAGAGGGGATTCATACAGTAGGTAGGCTGAGGGGCAGAGGGGATTCATACATTAGGTAGGCTGAGGGGCAGAGGGGATTCATACAGTAGGTAGGCTGAGGGGCAGAGGGGATTCATACAGTAGGTAGGCTGAGGGGCAGAGGGGATTCATACAGTAGGTAGGCTGAGGGGCAGAGGGGATTCATACAGTACTACTACATACTACACCTTCATTTGCCGCCTACACTGACTAGAGGAGAGTGAATAATTAATTTAGCCTAAAAAAACAGGAAGTGAAAATAAGAAAAAGGTCAAAAGAGAATGAACGAGACAGAGAGAAACACAGACAAGCGACAGAGAGAATGACCCTCTGGTGCTGGGTAGCTGCATTTGAGTACTTCTAGGAGGACAACACTAGAGATGACGTGGTACTGTTGTCTGTCCTGTATCTCAAACACAAGGCTGGGGAGAACACAGAGAGAGAAGTCTTTGATGCAGAGATAGGAAAGTGGGTTACAGCTAGAGCAACACAGCACAGCATTTCTCTGGTCTCCCCATATATCTACAGAGAACAGAAAGTTCCTTTCTGAGGAGACAGCATGTCCTGGGTGCCTAACCACAGCCCTTGTGTCTGCAAAAAAAGCTTCAGAGATGCATCCATCCAACAAAGAGAAACCCTGTCAGGGTTAGATATTTATGGGGACTGTTGCTAATCTGTCTCAAACAAACTTAGACACAGGTCAGACCAGATCATGCTTTTAGTTACATCGAGACAGTTCTATAGCATCAACATAGTCTGACTATTTGAGATGTTGAGAAGTTATTGAAACCAGGATATAATACTCAGGAGTAACCACAGGAATAAAAAAGTTAAAGCAAGCATGACTCAAGACCGAGGATATAGGTGAGTTAATGAGTCACAAAGATGAGGAGGAAGAGGAAGATGAGGAGGAAGAAGAGGACAAGAACAAGAAAAAAAAGAGAAGGAAGAAATGAAAGAAGAAGAGAGGGGGCAGAGAGGCTGACCTGAGTGTGTGCGTAGGTGGCCTGTGAGTGCGTCACGACGGCGGCAGGCGTAGCTGCAGAACGGACATTTGAAGGGCTTCTCCCCTGTGTGCAGCTTAATGTGTCTCAACAGGTTGCCCTTCTGAGTGAACGACACGCCACACTGGTTACACTGGAACGGCCTATCACCTGAGAGGGACACAGGAAGTGTTACACTGGAACGGTCTATCAGCTGAGAGGGGTACAGGAAGTGTTACACTGGAACGGCCTATCAGTTGAGAGGTGCACAGGAAGTGTTACACTGGAAGGGCCTATTCCTTGAAGGGGCACAGGAAGTGCAGGCTCTCATCACTCACAGTCCCCCTTTTACATAGAGCCAGATCAGCAACACACAATAACCACAGCGCCCCAGCTACCTAGTCTTGAGTTGCCACACTTCCAAGTCTCATTTTCACTGGGATATTGGACCGAACAAACTTAAGACAGAAATTGAGGTTTACAGCAACAATCAACACATTGCAACAGTAAAATATTTACGTCATTTAGCAGACACTCTAATCCAGAGCAACTTACAATAGGGAGTGCATACATTGTCATAATTTGGGAGGGGGTTTCGTACCGGTCCCCTAACGGGAATCAAACCCACAACCCTGGCGTTGCAAGCGCCATGCTCTACCAGCTACATAGGACCTATACATGGCTGGACTGTGGAGGTGAACAAATCCTAACCTCGTCAATTGCTAACCTCGTCCTCAGGCTCAATTCAGCAAACCCTAGCTGAGACTAAGAAATGTTGCCAATATTATTTCAAGGAGGATTTTCAGTGCAGAGAAAAACACTACCGGGTGGTTTCTGATGTGCACTGTGTACTAGTGATACATTTGAACTAGAACCTACTGTTGTAACTACAGAGATATTTATATCTCCAGAAATAGAGTGTGGTGAGATGAGGTGTTAGATCTCAATCCTAATAGCTCTGGTCCTATTCGCTCTGCGTGTCTACTATAGCTTTTGCTCTTTCTATCACCACACAGTACAGCAGGGGCATAAATACAATGTTTCCATCCCTAACCAGGCCCGATGTATGGTTATAGGTGGTACAATCACACACACACGCACACACACACACACACACACCACCATATCTATAAGTTAAAGTATTATGTTTAAGCGTTGCTGTCAAAGTGTCTTCAGACAGAAGACGGTTTAGGGAGTCTTATGTTGTGTCTTATAGTCTTGCATTGCTAAATGTGCTGTACACGTTTAGTGCCCAGCTTTACCATTGGTGAGTGTTTGTTTGTATGAATCTATGTACGTAGTTTGCCTGGTTCACAACTAGACTACAGCAATCTCATCATCATCATGATGATCATCTCTTGATCTGCAGCCCAACTTTAGAAAATCTGATCCTAAATCTATGAAGACCGAGGCACAGTAATAACGTCAGTTAAGGGAACAGGTTGAGGAGGATTCCTGGGATGTTTTCCCTGGCTCAACAATTGTCTTCTAGAACACAGCAAAGCTTTCCACCTCCACACCCAATGACACAAAAATAAGCATGTTCTGACTCACGTATTATATATATTTTTCAATCGTAGGATAAGAGACGTGCAATTGCTTTAGTCTGTAAAATACATATCTCATACGGAGTTACAACGTGAAGTATCCTTTATCCGTTATTTATTAACATATAACTAACAGGTTTTTGCAGTTTGTTAGATGTTAATGGTAAAACATTGACAATCCTTAGATACATCAGAGAATATTGTGTCATTGGTGTTCAATATAACGTACATGAGGTTTAGGCTATATACTGTAGAAGGGACATAAGGGGAAACAACTTTAGAGAAACATTTACCATTGGGCAGCTGAGTTCCTGGGTCACATGAACCTTCTGACCCAGGGACCCCATCCTGTAGGTTGTTTGGGCTGTCAATCATGGGCTCCTCCAATCCTGATCCCTCTTCCCCGCTTTGGCCCATGTCCTCTGCTGTGGTCCTCCTGTCCCCTTCATCTTCTGTCTCATCTTCCTGTTTGACTGTGTTTTCTAGAAGAGACCGGTATGACCAATCAAATTACTGTTTAATGGTTTTTGGCCAATTACATGCGATTATTTTTGTGGGTGATCCTTTTTACTCAATAGGTGTGGGAACTGTAGGTTGGGACTGTACATCTTGTAAATCTGTTTCTCTTTGACTACCTCCATTGATAGGAATAAGGTCATACAATCTGCATGTAATTTCCCCTGGAGAAACAAGTGATATAATGATACTCACAGTATTAGCAAAGTTCATGCTAAACCCCCTGAGACAGGGACTCTCCACATCTGACTAACAATTACACTATTTTAATTGTAAGCAATTATAACTGCTATTTTTAAACCTGATACTCCGGGAATGCACACAGTAAACATGTTATGTAGAGATACACTTGGTTACTCTCAGGAATGGACTGTGTGTAGTGACGTGGCATGCTCTGAACATTAGCGATTCGTGGAGGGAGAGATGAGAAACAGGCTTGTCTAATTCCAGTCAGTCCCTGGGGAGGAGAGGAGGGAGGGAGGAAGGATGAAGGGGAGGGGAATGTCCTAGCCTAAACAGGTGCTGCTGCTGAGCCCCTGAGGTTTTCCACTTGACTGCTGCTGGGTTAGAGACTGGCTGGATGGATGGGATGGGGGCGGGGCGGGGGATGGCTGACTGACTAAAGGCAGGAAGGTTTTCTACTGCCACAGGACTCCTAGTATCTGTGACTGACAACACACACACACACACACACACGTAGCCATATAATAATATTAAGAGATTCAGAGATTGTGCTCTTCCACACAATGCATTTGTTTGCACACAGGGACCTTTAAGGTTGAACATAGGCTACAGGGACATTTATGGTTGAACATAGGCTACAGGGACCTTTAAGGTTGAACATGAGCAGAAGGTGACTCCTTGCATTCCTCTGCTGCAGTCAGGAAAACCTGATCCGTAAACCCAGTGTCAAACATCTAGACAAAGCTGTTTGTGATTTGTGACTGACCATGATCACAGGGTGGGTATGCAAGGAGACGGAGCAATAGCCCCAAACCTCTCACATCCATATCCATCTCATACCCATGTCCCATCAGGCTCCTAGACTCCATAAACACAAGTGGAGTGTGTGGGGTGATTGCTTTAAGGATGACAGCAATGTCCACTGTGGTGATTGCTATAGGGTTGATAACATCCATCTGTCTCACAACATAGGACAAATACAATTCAGGACTCCTGCTATTGTCAGCAATGACATGGCAATCTCTGCAACAACATTGTAGTCTTTTCTTTAGCAATATTCCCCCTTCTATCTATATCCCTGTCTGAACTGAAGGAGACCCTCTTTTACTAACAGCATGACATTGAGGTTATCATCCAGAAGTGTATCCTGGCAACATGGAACTAGCAGATCGTGACGAGCTCTATTGGTTTTCATATTTTCCTCCCAGACGAGGGGTACGGGAGGTGGGATATACAAAGGATGAGCTCTCTGCTCTGCTCTCTGTTGTCGCAGCTGGCTGAACTTGAGATGGTTGCTGCGACAACAGTTTATTATAGAACCCAGATGAATAAAATATAAAGAAAGAAATTCCCAAAGCATGGGTCATGTTACCAAGGAGGAGAAATTAGGTATCCAAGCTAATAGAAAAGTGCCATCATAAGCAAATCTGAGCTCGGTAGCCTGTCCCACCCATACCTGGCTGTGTATTGAACACCTCATAGTTTACATTACCCTCATCGTTTACATTACCCTCATAGTTTACAATACCCACATAGTTTACATTACCCTCATAATTGACATTACCCTCATAGTTTTGCTAGTTATGCTGTATCGGTATTTAGCTGAAGTGAACGAAAAATGTAGTTAAAATGCTCTACCTTACTAATAGTTTGATTGTAAACATATAGCAAAACATGTTTTGTAGTTTTGTACAGTGACACAAGAAATTCAGCGTCAGTCAGTGTTATGTTACAACAATGGGTGTCGAAGTGGAGTGGTGTTAGGCAACTTCCGGGTCAGGATGACACAGGCTGTATCTGTGAGAACTATCTCCCTCTGAGTCAATCTCCCTCTTTAACACAGTAGTCTGTGAGAACTATCTCCCTCTGAGACTCTCTCCCTCTTTAACACTGTAGCCTGAAACCCAAATCTGTTTGTGTGGTCTTGCCGACTCCTATTAAGTATGAATGACCATAGGAGTTGGCAAGCCAGCTTAAACAGATCTGGGACCAGAGTACTAATACTGGGGGATGCTGCGGGAAACAGCTTCCCTTTTCTGCTTCAGCTACCTCATGGTGACATGTCTAAAGCCAATCAGAAGAATGGCACCCTCAGGTCTTCCTGTTTCTGTTCATTTAGGGGAAGGGAACTATGCAAGACCCTTCAGTTAAGACATGAGTTGATAAAATAAACTGTTTCTCTTAACACACATAATCCTCTTGTGTGTGTTCATCTGTGCATACATGCGTCCATGCATATGTGTGTGTGTTTGTGTTTGTGTGCACGCATATGTTCAGTAACCACTCACCAGTGGGTGAATTAGGATGCTGGAGCTGCTGTCCTTTGGGTGTGTTTCCCGACAGGTCCACCAACATTCTAGAGTTCTCTGTCTTCCTGGGAGAGCAGTCTCCGTTACCTGGGAGAAAGACAGACAACAAGAGAGCTGGGAACATCGCTCTGCATTGCATTGCATTGCACTGCACAACACACATACATACTGTACATACGACTCCATCTGTACAAACAGTGTCACACACACACACACACACACACAGTCACTTACACACACACATTGAATTTGATAGGTGTCAGTTGAAGCAATCATACCTTGCCAAAATAGTGACTAAACGCCTGATTACCTGGGGATAATCTTAAGATTTATTCCAGTGTCAATATGGCTATTTTTATGATACCCTGTTCCGGATCCTAAACAGCAAATTTTCCAATGTTGAATCAACACTGACAGTGTTACATTTAACACTGGGCCAGTGTGTATACGTGGGTCCACTTTTCAGTGTTAAATTAACAAGGTGCTGGGCCTCCCGAGTGGCGCAGCGGTCTAAGGCACTGCATCGAAATGCTGAGGCGCCACTACAGCCTGGGGTTTGATCCGTAACCGGGCGCGCCATAGAGCAGCACACAACTGGCCCTGCACCGTCTGGTTTTGGTCGGGGGGGTTTCCTTGGCTCATCTAGCGACTCCTTGTGGCGGGTCGGGTGCCTGCAAGCTGACTTCGCTAGTCAATTGAACAGTGTTTCCTCCGACATATTGGTACGGCAGACTTCTGGGTTAAGTGAGCATTGTGTTAAAGGTCATGAACAGTCAAAATCATGTTTTTCCTGAAAATCGATGATATTTGGATGAAACCAGATCAAAGTATGATGACCAAAGAATGAAAAATAACTTTTTCATCTACATTGATCAAATTTGATCATAAATGTCTCACTCATCTTTATTCATGATTTATTCAGGATTATCCAAATACTGGGACCAAATACTTAACTTTGTACTACTTTAATACACATACAGTAAGTGAATTTGTCCCAATACTTTTGGTCCCCTAAAATGGGGGGATAGAAAATAGAAAATTCAATAAAGGAGACTACCTAAACCATTTAAACTGGAACAACCATTTCAGTAATGGGTGCTATAAATCTAACTAACTGATTGGATTAGTTTAGACAAATGTAATTTATCTTTGTGTAGCATAATAAATAAATCAATAAAAACAATCCTAAAAAAAATCTACCTGCAGGAGAGCATGCTGGAAAATATTATAATGATGGCCGTGGTTTCAAGGCCGCCGGCAAACTTGTGGCAAGGTGACATTTGCCACAGCACTTTTCAATCACTTTTGATTTAGTTTAATAAAATATATCAATGCAAAACATTAAAAAGATGGGCAAAATGCTGTTTTATAAACCGATTTGCCTCATGATTTGTCAACTCACGCAAAATTTCTCTGTCCTTCACATTGGAGTGCTGCTGCAGGCTATTTGCGGTTCTTGACCAATCATTTTCACGGAAATTGCAGGTCGCACAGGCCAGGAACAAGGCACAAAGATCAAGGTGCGCATTACTTTCTATTTATTTAGCAAGCGTGATAACACATCAGTCTCGACAGACACAAGCAAAAACTATACACCTAAACATTAGTGATCTGACATGCTGTATTGCATTGAAACAATACTATTTTTCAGTCTGATCAACTGCAGGCTACTAACAACAGCAGCTGCATAGTCTAGCCTACTATACGCCCTGTGCCACTGGCCAGGGTAAACAAAGCAGTAAGGTTGTGTATTTATAGCCCATTTGTTTGTGAAAAAAGGTGAATGGGATCAAATTTGGTTTATATTTGAACCTTTTTTTAAACATAATTAATATGAACAAGTACAGTGAGGGAAAAAAGTATTTGATCCCCTGCTGATTTAGTATGTTTGCCCACTGACAAAGAAAGTATCAGTCTATAATTTTAATGGTAGGTTTATTTGAAAAGTGAGAGACAAAATAACAACAACAAAATCCAGAAAAACACATGTCAAAAATGTTATAAATTGATTTGCATTTTAATGAGGGAAATAAGTATTTGACCCCCTCTCAATCAGAAAGATTCTGGCTCCCAGGTCTTTTATACAGGTAACGATCTGAGATTAAGAGCACACTCTTAAAGAGAGTGCTCCTAATCTCAGCTTGTTACCTGTATAAAAGACACCTGTCCACAGAAGCAATCAATCAATCAGATTCCAAACTCTCCACCATGGCCAAGACCAAAGAGATCTCCAAGGATGTCAGGGACAAGATTGTAGACATACACAAGGCTGGAATGGGCTACAAGACCATCTCCAAGCAGCTTGGTGAGAAGGTGACAACAGTTGGTGCGATTATTCGCAAATGGAAGAAACACAAAATAACTGTCAATCTCCCTCGGCCTGGGGCTCCATGCAAGATCTCACCTTGTGGAGTTGCAATGATCATGAGAGCGGTGAGGAATCAGCCCAGAACTACACGGGAGGATCTTGTCAATGATCTCAAGGCAGCTGGGACCATAGTCACCAAGAAAACAATCCATCCCCACCGTCAAACATGGAGGTGGAAACATTATGCTTTGGGGGTGTTTTTCTGCTAAGGGGACAGGACAACTTCACCGCATCAAAGGGACGATGGACGGGGCCAGGTACCATCAAATCTTGGGTAAGAACTTCCTTCCCTCAGCCAGGGCATTGAAAATGGGTCGTGGATGGATATTCCAGCATGACAATGACCCAAAACACACGGCTAAGGCAACAAAGGAGTGGCTCAAGAAGAAGCACATTAAGGTCCTGGAGTGGCCTAGCCAGTCTCCAGACCTTAATCCCATAGAAGATTTGTGGAGGGAGCTGAAGGTTCGAGTTGCCAAACGTCAGCCTCGAAACCTTAATAACTTGGAGAAGATCTGCAAAGAGGAGTGGGACAAAATCCCTCCTGAGATGTGTGCAAACCTGGTGGCCAACTACAAGAAACGTCTGACCTCTGTGATTGCCAAGGGTTTTGCCACCAAATACTAAGTAATGTTTTGCAGAGGGGTCAAATACTTATTTCCCTCATTAAAATGCAAATCAATTTATAACATTTTTGACATGCGTTTTTCTGGATTTCTTTGTTGTTATTCTGTCTCTCACTGTTCAAATAAACCTACCATTAAAATTACAGACTGATCATGTCTTTGTCAGTGGGCAAACGTACAAAATCAGCAGGGGATCAAATACTTTTTTTCCCTCACTGTACAAGGTTCCTGCAGTTTGACAGGGTTTTCCTCCTCCCCAAGGACAGGTCTTTCCAGCAGTTTTTTTAAACCATGTGACCTGATTAGAAAACCTCTCGTCCCATCATAGCCCATAGTAAACCTTTTTACAACAGATTTCTTTTTGCCACACCACTCTGGGAACTGTGGTGCCACCTCTGCATGGTTTTGATGGGAATGTTTTACTTTCCACAGAGTAAAATTGACACAATCACACTCTCACACTCAACTCTGGTTATTAACACCAACACTGGGGTTGTTTTAGACCACTGAGCATTACTTTAACACTAACAGAGTTCATTTTAACACCTGAATCAACACTGAAAAATCAACACTAGGTAACACTGGCCCATTTGCTGTGTAAGTCCCTAATCTAACACAGTGCCACACTGATCTTTGCAACTCGTTGCTAGTTCCTCAACAAGACTTCCAGATCAGGTTGCATCCTCTCAGCACCCTTCCTGACACACGGGTAAGGCTATAAGATAGCTGTCCTGTCCACTCAAAGGGAGCACTGTCCAATCCCTTATACAGCCTGACCCCATGGGAGCCTCTCAGCCAAAACAGCAGCACCTCCACTGACCCAGGTGTCAAATCCCACAGGAGCCAGACCACAGAAAAGATAACACTTTACCAGCTAGCACATTTTACAGGAAAGTACCGGAGATGTCATAGAGAGAATGGCCACCTCAGTCCAACAGTTAATCTTCGTAAATGCTTCCCCCATGGAGACTAAAACAAAATGCTAGTATTTTATGTGGTAGACTAGTGTTCCATTGTTGTGATTGGCTGCTGCTGAGTGAGGCACTCTGGGAGTCGCGGTCCATGACCATGATGCCACAATCCCTGGGTCTGGTGTCAGGTTGCACGCCATGGTGGGGTTGGAGGAAATCTCAGGTGACCGACGGGCGGCTATCCCTTGGCAGTGCTGTCTGTCGTAGAGACAGGAGTCGCTCTATGACAGGATACGACAGGATTTTCCATTACTGTGTTGTGTTGATGCCATGACGGCTCTGTGTGGTCGATCAGGTTAGGTAAAGGCACAGTAGTGTGGCTCATAGATGGTGTGTACTAGTAGCACCTGAATGTTGATGGTCCTATGTTTCATGTATTTGCAATTATTATTGAAAACCTTAATGGCATTTAGCTCAAACTTGTTCATCATCTGCTATTCCTCATACAATACTTAAAATTGCTGCTCGCTGCTCCCGAAGTGATGCATGCTGGAACCCGTGGGCCAGATTGAGGAGTGTGGGGCTGACAACACATACAAAACACACACACACACGCACAGTCTGCTGAGTCAAAATCTGAGCTTTGATTGGCACCATTCATTAGCTGACTCAATACTGTATGAACCACCACAAAATGTCTGTGCATCAGACCCAGATGACTTGTATAGACAGGGGAGGCTTAACTGGAGGAAGACGATGTGTGTAACGCATCAGATATGGATCGTTCCATGTGTAGGTGGCGTGGTCAAAAGGAAAATAACATTTATGAAAATGGCAAAGAGAGAACAAGCCATGATATACATGTTGGCTTCTGTAGGACGTTTTATAAGTGAGTTGAAAACGTGTTGCATCAAATTATCAGCGAAATGTGGTCGGCTGGTTAAATGTATACCGTACTTTACAAGTGGGGAGCACTTTAATGAGCCAGATAAACTGGAACGACTTCAATTTAAAACAAGAGGTTTGAAACTGTGCAGGATTATTTCCCTGAAAGTATCGCCATTGTGGCTTGTTGGAAACACACAGGCAGCACAGGCAGGAGCAAGGATCTGGTTTTTCCAGTCAAACCCTCAACCTCCAGACCATCCCTCCACACTGTAAGAGATAGAGATCTCATTCATCAGATTTCCTTTAACATTTTAGAGGAGTTATGGCAGTATGCTTCAAACATGAATCAAAACAGATGTGTTTCAGCGATGTAAATAAAAGCAGAGGGCGCTATAATGGCTATATCCTACTTCATCCTACTTTTCCCTTCACACTATATCCTCACTGTACCATACTTTTTTCCTTCACACTATAACATTCATATTTTGTTCAACTCATCCCAAAACTATTTTCAACACCTGCAACAAGGAGTTGTCAAACTCCAGATTATCAATGTGTTCTATCAGAGGGAATCTGTGGAGGGGAGAAAGAGGAGGGAAGTACCACTGTACCTGGTACAGCACCACCCTACTGATAAGACATCTCTAGGAGAGCCAAGAAGTAGTTGGCCCTTTTACAGGATCAGAACACATGCAGCTCGTGTCTCTCTCCTCTTATCGGATTAGTAAAGCAGAATGGCTTCCTCATCTCAGCTGCGTGGAACACGTTCCCCTATCCTTGCATCCACTTTCATATCTGTATGAGAGTCAACTGTATTAGTTTAAAAAATGTGTGGCCTCAGCCTTGTCCCGTACCTTTGACCATAACACAGCTGTGCAAAACATCACGACATCATGACATCCTCAAATGTCTGATTGCCCGTACCTTTGACCATAACACAGCTGTGCAAAACATCACGACATCATGACATCCTCAAATGTCTGATTGCTTTAGCATAAAATCAATTTAGGAATCAATAACTCTCAGAAACAACCATAAAGGAGAGAGGAGACTGGACTAAATACTAGTTCCAGTTGGATTATAACCAAAATGATGACAAAAGGGCCTCCAAATGTGGAAAATTGATTAGAAAGACCATAAAAACACATAAAAAACATAAAAAATAAAATGGCGAATAAGGGACACATCCAGCATGCGCAACTTAAAACACGATGTCACAAACCTTTTAAAGACTTTTAAGAGTTACATGTCAATATTATGTTGGTTAGAGAGTGAATGAAGAGTTGACCTACTTGCAGAGTATCCATCAGTGGCCTCTGTTTCCATAGTTGGGGGAGAGCTGTAGGTATCATAAAGAAACAATAAGTTAGAGCACTACAGCTGTACCACAGTGCTTACTCTCCTTCTAACCTCTTCTAAATCCTAATGGAATAACACAGATTATACTGTTCGGTTGGAGGGATTTATTTTTACATTATTTTAGGTAACACTTTGTAATAGATTTAATGAATGAGCCATTATGAATTTAATAAATATGTATAAATGCTGAATTAGAGGATACATTGATTTTGAAACAGGCATGATTCATATTATATATTTAACACATGTATTACAATGAAAGTTGAGTGGAAATAAATAGATAAAATGTATTACTGATCAAATTTGAGAATGTACAACAATTATACAGAGTTAAATATGAAGACAAAGATGCATGTGTTTTAGTTTTGGCTTTCGACGTTCCGCAAGACTTTAGTCTAGCATCCCTGCAACATAAAACTATATGGTTCAACTTCCCGAAATGCTGCTGAAGTGCTGGTGGATTGCAAAGTTTAGCCTCTGAATATAATGCAGTGGTTCATTGAAAGTTGCACTATTAGAGAAGTAACAAATATATCAAGCTAAAACTATACTATGGGTTATACATGTTCATAGAGTGAGAACACAAATGTTCCCAGTTCTAGTAGTTTCAGACCCTCTGAAAAAAGGTCTTCAACTCAAATTAAATATGTCTGAGAGAAGAGTAGTACGGTGCAAACCACCACTGGCCAACCTAACCTCATGTCTGCCATCAGGGGACATTTTGTAGACATGTATTATCTGTTGGAGGTTCAGGTGAGATTGTATTCTATTAATGTTTAATACAGAACATAATTACACTGAGTGAACAAAACATTAGGAACACCTGCTGTTTCCATGACATATACTGAAGAGGTGAATCAAGGTGAAAACTATGATCCCTTATTGATGTCACTTGTTAAATCCACTTAAATCAGTGTAGATGAAGGGGAGGAGATTTTTAAGCCTTGAGACAATTGAGACATGGATTGTGTATGTTTGGCATTCAGAGGGTGAATGGGCAAGACAAAAGATTTAAGTGCCTTTGAACGGGGTATGGTAGTAGGTGCCAGGCGCACCGGTTTGAGTATGTCAAGAACTGCAACGCTGCTGGGTTTTTCACACTCAACAGTTTCCCGTGTGTATCAAGAATGGTCCACCACCCAAAGGACGTCCAGCCAACTTGACACAACTGTGGGAAGCATTGGAGTCAACATGGGCCAGCATCCCTGTGGAATGCTTTCGACACCATGTAGAATCCATGCCCTGACGAATTGAGGCTGTTCTGAGGGCAGAATGGGGTACGATTCAATATTAGGAAGGTGTTCCTAATGTTTTGTAAGCTCAGTGTATGTTTATTGTGTGTGTGTCTCTCTCTCTGTGTGTGTGTGTGTGTGTGTGTGTGTGTGTGTGTGTGTGTGTGTGTGTGTGTGTGTGTGTGTGTGTGTGTGTGTGAGAGAGAGTGTGTGTGTGTGAGAGAGTGTGAGAGAGAGAGTGTGTGTGTGTGTCTGTGTAAATAATCCAGAACTTCTGATATACTGAATATGTCATTTTCTACAGTCAAATGTCACTGCTAAACTGGACAGTCAGGGTAATAAAATAAACCTATCAGCTTCCAGGTTTACTCTGTCTGCTTTCCTATATGTTTTTGTTATGTCTGGTCAGGTCAACTGAGATGAAATAAGAGGAGTGCCTTCAGAAATTATTCACACCCCTTGACTTTTCCCACATGTTGTTGTGTTACAGCCTGAATTTAAAATGGATTAAATTGAGATTTTGTGTCACTGGCCTACACACAATACCCCATAATGTCAAAGTGGAATGATGCTCTTTGACATTTTTACAAATGTATTAAAAATGAAAAGCTGAAATGTCTTGAGTCAATAAGTATTCAATCCCTTTGTTATGGCAAGCCTAAATAAGTTCAGGAGTAAAAATGTGCTAAACAAGTCACATAATAAGTTGCATAGACTCACTCTGTGTGCAATAATAGTGCTTAACATGATTGTTTAATGACTACCTCATCTCTGTACCCCACACATACAATTATCTGTAAGGTCCCTCAGACGTGAATTTCAAATACAGATTCAACCACAAAGACCAGGGAGGTTTTCCAATGCCTCGCAAAGAAGGGCACCTATTGGTAGATGGCTATAAATAAAAAGCAGACATTGAATATCCCTTTGAGCATGGTGAAGTTATTAATTACACTTTGGATGGTGTATCCATACACCCAGTCACTACAAAGATAGGCGGTCTTGTCATTATTGGTAATCAAGCCTACACAACAGCAGTAAGCTTGATTACCAACAATGACGAGACCACCTACAGGGAGGAGGTGAGGGCTCTGGGAGTGTGGTGCCAGGAAAATAACCTCTCACTCAACGTCAAAAAAACAAAGGAGATGATCGTGGACTTCAGGAAACAGCAGAGGGTGCACCCCCCTATCCACATCGACGGGACCGCAGTGGAGAAGGTGGAAAGCTTCAAGTTCCTTGGCGTACACATCACTGACAAACTGAAATGGTCCACCCACGCAGACAGCGTGGTGAAGAAGGCGCAACAGAGCCTCTTCAACCTCAGGAGGCTGAAGAAATTTGGCTTGGCCCCTAAGACCCTCACAAACTTTTACAGATGCACAATTGAGAGCATCCTGTCGGGCTGTATCACCGCCTGGTACGGCAACTGCACTGCCTGCAACCGCAGGGCTCTCCAGAGGGTGGTGCAGTCTGCCGAACGCATTACCGGGGGCAAACTACCCGCCCTCCAAGACACCTACAGCACCCGATGTCACAGGAAGGCCAAAAAGATCATCAAGGACATCAACCACCTGAGCCACTGCCTGTTCACCCCGCTATCAACCAGAAGGCGAGGTCAGTACAGGTGCATCAAAGCTTGGACTGAGAGAATGAAAAACAGCTTCTATCTCAAGGCCATCAGACTGTTAAATATCCATCACTAGCACATTAGAGGATGCTGCTGCCTATTGAAATCACTGGCCACTTTAAGAAATTGAACATTAGTCACTTTAATAATGTTTACATATCTTACACAACTCATCTCATATGCATATACTGTATTCTATTCTATAATTATCTACTGTATCTTAATCCATGCCGCTCTGTCATTGCTTGTCCATATATGTATATATTCTTAAATTCCATTCCTTACTAGATTTGTGTGTAGTGGGTATATGTTGTGAAATTGTTAAATATTACTTGTTAGATATTACTGTACTGTCATAGCTAGAAGCACAAGCATTTCGCTACACCCGCAATAACATCTGCTAAACACGTGTATGTGACAAATAAAATTTGATTTGATTTGATTTACAGGCATCTTTCCATAATACTAACCTAAATGACAGAGTGAAAAGAAGTAAGCCTGTACAGAATAAAAATATTCCAAAACATTCATCCTGTTTTCAATAAGGCACTAAAGTAAAACTGTAAGAAAAAAATGTGGCAAAGAAATGAACTTCATGTCCTGAATACAAAGTGTTATGATTCGGGCAAATTCACTGAGTACCACTCTTCATATTTTCAAGCATAGTGGTGGCTGCATCATGTTATAGGGAGTTTTCTAGGGGGGATAAAAAGAAACGTAATAGAGCTAAGCACAGCCAAATCCTAGAGGAAAACCTGGTTCAGTGTGCTTTCCAATAGACACTGCGAGACAAATTCACCTTTCAGCAGGACAATAACCTAAAACACAAGGCCAAATATACACTGGAGTAGCTTACCAAGACAACGTTGGATGTTCCTGAGTGGCCTTGTTACAGTTTTGAGTTAAATCTGCTTGAAGATCTATGGCAAGACTTGAAAATGGCTGTCTAGCAATCATCAACAACCAACTTGACAGAGCTTGAAGAATTTTAAAAAGAATAATGTGCAAATATTGTACAATCCAGGTATGCAAAGCTCTTAGAGACTTACCTAGAAAGACTCACAGCTGTAATCGCTTCCAAAGGTGATTCTAACATGTATTGACTCAGGGGTGTGAATAGTTATATAAGTGAGATATTTTTGTATTTAATTTTCAATAAATGTGCAAAAATTCCTACAAATATGTTTTCACTTTGTCATTATAGGGTATTGTGTGTAGATGGGTGAGAACAAACAATCAATTTATAACCCATTTTGAATTCAGGCTGTAACACAACAAAATTTGGAATAAGTCAAGGGTTATGAATACTTTCTGAGGGCACTGTATGACTCAGAAGAGGACAATGTCCTCATAGTTCAGGTGTAAAAATAAAACGCATTAAGCCCAAACTTGAGGACAGACTAAGCGAAACATTTTCTACTGTGAACTAGCATACAGATGTCAACATTTTTGCAAATGTCTTGTATATGATTGCCACTTTTCTCTACATATAATGTAATAATAATCACACAAGACATGTTTATAATAAGTCAACAAAAAATGGCATGCGCTTAGGCTACATTTTCCTTCATAATTGACACTTCAATAATTGGGAAACCTATTACAATGCAAATACTTTTTTTTACATAAGACTAGGAGAGATGATATGTCTGTTTTTAATAGTATTTTCTATGGAAAAATTGTGAAAACTATATGCTGAATTAAAAGTCCTATGTGGTAGACTAGGCTATTCAAATAAATAAATAAATACGAAATAGTTGTTTAGACTAAGCTTTAGAGCGATTAGCAGCCTAAGTATACAAGTTATTACATTCAGTCAATATATTTTAATTCTATACGTTTGACAATTGAGATGTATTGCTTCGTCAGCAACAAACGGAAAACCGCCTCCGCCGTGGACACCTGTCTCTAGACGCTCAGCCGTGCACGTGTGTAGGCTTTTTGACAGCCCAAAATCTCCCTTCAGTTAAAAAATATATGTGGGTTGATTATTTTCATTACATGATTGGAATCAAGACATATATTGACAGAATCAGCCGTCACCTGTTATTGTATGACTTGGGTAGCCCTGTCGATGTATCGATCAATCGCTCAGAAAGAGTAAGCAGATTGAGGACCTTTGAAGTTGAAAGTTCATCTATTGCGACTAGGTAAAACAATGCTAAGTTATTATAAATGTATTACAACGTTAGTACGCAAAGTGTTCGTGTAAGAATGGTAGCCTAATCATATTAAGTGTATAATAATTGGTATGGTGCCGATAACCAGACTTGTTAAATTGAATATTACCTTTCGGTGTCTCCCCTGTGCAAGTCAGTGATCTTCGTCAGTGGAAGTTGCACCTCGTTCTAAAATGCAAATTAAAATCCCCAGTAGCCTAATATGTATTTCATAGACAATAACAATTAATAATGTAGGGTCTATTCTCCTCTTTTAAAAAAGTGGAGTACCAAAAAGAAAAACTTCAGTTGAATATAACACGGTCCTGTCCTGCATACAAACTGAATAAAGTTCTGGAACAGAGCAGCACACTCCTCAAGAAGTAGCTTTGGTAGTTACTTCCTCTGTGCTGAACTAGCCCGTCAACTTTTCCACCTCCACCCGCACGCACCTTCCCTGTATGTATGTATCCTATAATATTCTATAAAGTACACCTTGATTAGGCAAAATATGGGCACTTCAACACTTATAGACTGTGTATTACTGGATTTTGTGTTTACTACAGCAACAATGAGGTCGGGGAAGACTCAACTTGCTTTTAGACTAAACGAAAGAAACAAAAAAACAAACAAACAAAGAAACAAAGAAAGAACGAGGGGAATATAACTGGATCCACCGGTTCCTAGGGAAATAGCCAAATAAAAGGAGTAGGGAGCAGCCTATTTTCATCCGAGGGATTCTAAGGAATCGGATATACATCGGTATTCAAAAGTTATTGGATGACTTCTAAGAGTGAGTGTGTCAGTAGGCAGTCCAAGAGAGATATGACAGACGGATAGTCCATGCTGTCTCATAGTAACCTGTCAGAGTATTCACATATATGTGCAGGTAGAAAGACATTTCAACAGAGACAGAACGTATCCTCAACTATTGTGCCCATTCTGTCTCTATAGCCTAATTCAATTACATAAAATACGAGATTATCTCTATTGACACTGCAGTTTGGGTTAAAAGCATTTCGAATCATGTCATAGAAAGACTTTGCAGAAGCCCCCACTGCTGCATCAACAGGTATCGGATCATTGTGCAGTCCGGAGCCGTCTGACTTTTATTAGTGAGCTGCACCTGTCTCGCTGAATACCGTGTCTGTGTAGATTGCAGCACGATCTGCATTGTCTGGAATCTGGATCAATGGTCGGGATGTTGAGCGTTTATCCACGTACATATTTTAGATCATCAACAAAGCAGACAAACTGTCATCCTTGTAGGCTAAATAAATATATAATAATCGCTATTTGTTTTCTTTATTTCGTTACCTTATAATCGCAGGAGATTAAATAATCCCATCACCTATGCTGTGAGGTAAGAACTACACATGTTCCCCCATTGGAATGTCTTTCTTGGAATACACTGTAATTTAATATAGTAGTTCCGCAGGCAGCAACAGTTAATCCGCCGATACTTCCTCCATCTTCGAAAGCAGAGCAGACGAGCCGCCGAGTGTCTGTTCTGGGAACCTGGTATAACACAGAGAAACTGATCTCTCTCTCTCTGCCTGTCTGTGCTGTGGGTGCTCGGCAATCGATTACAGGACTTCACAGCCTGTTGCTTTTGTATTTAACACATTGACATAAAAGGTTAAAATAACAGTAAAGCATTTTGATTTTGAGTAAATGGTGAAAACAATGATTGAATAGGATACAATTGGATGATAATACATAAATGATAATAGGATAATAATAATAAAGCTAACACTGCTTACTAATTAGGCTACGGTAGATACTGCACTAATCCAAATATTAATTGTATTACTAAGCAATGGGCAATTAACTATGAATTTTTTTTTTTTATACTTACATGAACATATATTATTAACAAATTATTATTACTATTAATACTACTACTAATAGCTATTATTATTATTATTAGGGGATTCCAATTGTTAGCAAATATTTCTGATGCCACATTTGCCTGCATTTAGGCCATTGCCTAAGAGGTCTAATTCATTAAAAACGTGGACACAAACACAAATACATGATATATCTTATTGGTTATCTATTCTAATCATTTCTTGTCAGAAGTGGAATAAGCAGGAAGCTCTGCACTGTACTGTACAGTCGTGGTCAAAAGTTTTGAGAATGACACAAATCTTAATTTTCACAAAGTCTGCTGCCTCAGTTTTTATGATGTCAATTTGCATATACTCCAGAATGTTATGAAGAGTGATCAGATGAATTGCAGTTAATTGCAAAGTCCCTCTTTGCCATGAAAATGAACTTAATCCCCAAAAAACATTTCCACTGCATTTCAGCCCTGCCACAAAAGGACCAGCTGACATCATGTCAGTGATTCTCTCGTTAACACAGGTGAGAGTGTTGACGAGGACAAGGCTGGAGATCACTCTGTCATGGTGATTGAGTTAGAATAACAGACTGGAAGCTTTAAAAGGAGGGTGGTGCTTGAAATCATTGTTCTTCCTCTGTTAACCATGGTTACCTGTAAGGAAACGTGCCGTCATCATTGCTTTGCACAAGTAAGATTGCACCTAAATCAACCATTTATCGGATCATCAAGAACTTCAAGGAGAGAGGTCCAATTGTTGTGAAGAAGGCTTCAGGGTGCCCAAGAAAGTCCAGCAAGCGCCAGGACAGTCTCCTAAAGTTGATTCAGCTGCGGGATCGGGGCACCACCAGTGCAGAGCTTGCTCAGGATTGGCAGCAGGCAGGTGTGAGTGCATTTGCACGCACAGTGAGGCGAAGACTTTTGGAGGATGGCCTGGTGTCAAGAAGGGCAGCGAGGAAGCCACTTCTCTCCAGGAAAAACATCAGGGACAGACTGATATTCTGCAAAAGGTACAGGGACTGGACTGCTGAGGACTGGGGTAAAGTCATTTTCTCTGATGAATCCCCTTTCCGATTGTTTGGCGCATCCGGAAAAAAGCTTGTCCGGAGAAGACAAGGTGAGCGCTACCATCAGTCCTGTGTCATGCCAACAGTAAAGCATCCTGAGACCATTCATGTGTGGGGTTGCTTCTCAGCCAAGGGAGTGAGCTCACTCACAATTTTGCCTAAGAACACAGCCATGAATAAAGAATGGTACCAACACATCCTCAGAGAGCAACTTCTCACAACCATGTTTGGTGACGACCAATGCCTTTTCCAGCATGATGGAGCACATTGCCATAAGGCAAAAGTGATAACTAAGTGGCTCTGGGAACAAAACATTGAAATGTTGGGTCCATGGCCAGGAAACTCCCCAGACCTTATCCCATTGAGAACTTGTGGTCAATCCTCAATCCACAAGACAATCCACAAGACAAACAAAACCCCACAAATTCTGACAAACTCCAAGCATTGATTATGCAAGAATGGGCTGCCATCAGTCAGGAGGTGGCCCAGAATTTAATTGACAGCAGGCCAGGGCGGATTGCAGAGGTCTTGAAAAAGAAGGGTCAACACTGCAAATATTGACTCTTTGCATAAACTTAATGTAATTGTCAATAAAAGCCTTTGACACTTATGGAATGCTTGTAATTATTCTTCAGTATACCATAGTAACATCTGACAAAAATATCTAAAAACACTGAAGCAGGTGAAGACCAATACTTGTGTCATTCTCAAAACTTTTGACCACGACTGTCCTTGTTCTCCTCTTCTGCTCCCTCCTGTGGCAAAGACCAGAGTTGTCTGAAATGATCTACTGAAGTACAGCACAGTATTGAAGAGGTACGGTTGTCAATGCATGTTCTAAAAGTTGCTGTACAATCACAGTAAAAATAAACTAAAAAAGAAATGTGAGTGAGGTGTGACATTCATAACATGTTTAAATGTTTTGTGTTGTTCCTGTGTCACAGATGAGAACTTTAGGTTATCTTAGTCACTTCCAATACGTTTTTAGATGTGATATGACACCTTACTTACTGGTAATGAAAATAAGGTCATGTGAAGCACCTTTAGCCATAATGACACACTTTTGTAACAGGAAATATACGTAACCAAATAAAATACATTTTCAACATTTAATTTATATTAAACAGAACTTTTGATATAAAGAAATTAGCATAATGTATCCCCTAATACATATACATATTTAAGCGTTTATAAATCCTTATATATGTTTCTCAATGTTTATTAACTATATGTATTAATATAATGCATAACATGAAATAAAAGTAAGGAATTACTCAGTTATCAATCGTATGTGCATACATCATTTGTAATGCAGTGTGATATCTCGATTGTGTCCTGAACATTTTTAATCATTACATTTCAGAAACAATTAGTTTGAGAGTAGGATATTACACTGTCAGAAACATATATAAAATGTAACATATATATATATATATATATATATATACAGTGGGGAGAACAAGTATTTGATACACTGCCGATTTTGCAGGTTTTCCTACTTACAAAGCATGTAGAGGTCTGTAATTTTTATCATAGGTACACTTCAACTGTGAGAGACAGAGTCTAAAACAAAAATCCAGAAAATCACATTGTATGATTTTTAAGTAATTAATTTGCATTTTATTGCATGACATAAGTATTTGATCACCTACCAACCAGGAAGAATTCCGGCTCTCACAGACCTGTTAGTTTTTCTTTATGAAGCCCTCCTGTTCTCCACTCATTACCTGTATTAACTGCACCTGTTTGAACTCGTTACCTGTATAAAAGACACCTGTCCACACACTCAATCAAACAGACTCCAACCTCTCCACAATGGCCAAGACCAGAGAGCTGTCTAAGGACATCAGGGATACAATTGTAGACCTGCACACGGCTGGGATGGGCTACAGGACAATAGGCAAGCAGCTTGGTGAGAAGGCAACAACTGTTGGCGCATATATTAGAAAATGGAAGAAGTTCAAGATGACGGTCAATCACCCTCGGTCTGGGGCTCCTTGCAAGATCTCACCTCGTGGGGCATCAATGATCATGAGGAAGGTGAGGGATCAGCCCAGAACTACACGGCAGGACCTGGTCAATGACCTGAAGAGAGCTGGGACCACAGTCTCAAAGAAAACCATTAGTAACACACTATGCCGTCATGGATTAAAATCCTGCAGCGCACGCAAGGTCCCCCTGCTCAAGCCAGCGCATGTCCAGGCCCGTCTGAAGTTTGCCAATGACCATCTGGATGATCCAGAGGAGGAATGGGAGAAGGTCATGTGGTCTGATGAGACAAAAATAGAGCTTTTTGGTCTAAACTCCACTCGCTGTGTTTGGAGGAAGAAGAAGGATGAGTACAACCCCAAGAACACCATCCCAACCGTGAAGCATGGAGTGGGAAACATCATTCTTTGGGGATGCTTTTCTGCAAAGGGGACAGGACAACTGCACCGTATTGAGGGGAGGATGGATGGGGCCATGTATCGCGAGATCTTGG